CAAGGGACCGCTTCTGCGGTCCCGCTTCTGCGGACCACGAGCCGCTTCAGCGGTTCTTCATTAAAGTCAAGATTTTCGCTTCTACGGCCCTTCACCGCACCTGCGGTTGCCGCTTATGCGGATTCATTACCGCTTCTGCAGTTTCAAACAAAATTCCAAGGACCGCATCTGCGACTCGCAGGTGCGTAACCGCTTCTGCGGTTAAACTTCCGCACCTGCGGAAACTGAAGAAGCACTCGAATTTCGCTCCTGCAGTGGTCTAGCCACTTCTGCGGCTCCGCTTCTGCCCTTCCCAAGCCGCAGAAGCGGAAATACCAGATGACAGAACCTTCAGCAATTCATTCAACTTCAAAATTTTCCCTCAACCACCTGAAATCATCCCGAGGCCCCCGGGACCTCAACTAAAAGCACCAATACCACCTAATACCTTATTCGAACTTGTACCAATCCTTAAAACACCTAAAACAACGCCAGAAACCCGAATTAATCAAAGATTCAAGTCTAAGAACCTCAAATTCCAACCAAACACGCTTTCGATCAAAAACCTGACCAAACCTCGTCCGAATGACCTGAAATTTTGCACACACATCCCAAATGACATGACGGAACTACTGTAATTTCCGGAATTCCAATCCGACCCTCGGATCAAAAACTCACTACCGGACCGGAAACTTCAAAAATACAAACTCCGGCATTTCAAGCCTAAATGAGCTACGGACTTCCAAAATACATTTCGAACACGCTCCCAACCCCAAAATCACCTAACGGAGCTAACGGAACCATCGGATATCCATTCCGAGGTCGTCTTCACACTGTTCCGACTACGGACCATTTTTCAACACTTAAGCTCTCGTTTAGGGACTAAGTGTCCCAAAACTCTCCGAAACTCAACACCCAACGTCCCGGCAAACCAAAGCAGAAATGAACTTAGGGGAAACAGTTAATGGGGGATCGGGGCGTAATTTCCAAAAATGACCGGCCGGGTTGTTACACCAGGAATTTGTCAATACCTCGTTTTTCATTCTGGGCAGTTAGTAAAGCAGTCCAAATTTCCCTTGGCGACTTTAGATTGCAGTAGAGATCATAGAGTCGATCTGTCGAGGTATTCAGAATATGACCGCGACACAACAATTCATCATGTTCTCGTTTCTTACTGTCTTTCTTGACTGCATCAGAATCTTTGCTGTAGGCTCAGGCATCGCAAGCAAGGCAGAATCAAGAACATAGTAGATATTGAGAGCAGACAACAAGAATATCATCTTGTCTCTCCAGCGGGTAAAATTCGTTCCATCAAAGCGATCAAGTTTGATGAACTCCTTCGGATTCTCAACAACAGACATCAATTTCTCCATAGCAGTATAACTCTTTAAGATTGTTAGAAAATAATAAACAAAAAATAGCTTTGAGGTGTGAAATTCGACTGTCCTTAAAGAGTTATCGCCTGTATACTAATTTAGGAAAATACAAAACGATTCTCTTCAGGATACAACAAAGCCTAAAATAATACTTGTGATTTTTCTATACCACTTCGTTGAAAATTCTTGTGTATTTATAGGTAACCAACAGACCCTTTCAGACAAGATTTGTTGTTTCACAAACATACATATTTGGTTGGACCCTTTCATAACAGACATAACTATTTATTCGAATTTTGAATTTAAAATTCAAATAAATTTGATTTTTCTGTCACAAAAATAAAATAATTAATTTTAGGATCTGACCCGGCCCGCGCCCAAGCCCCAAGTCCAAGTCCAAGTCTTTGATTATAATATATAAATATATAGTGTACTTAATTGCACACACTTAAAAGTATGTATCCTAAATCAAAGATATAAAAGGGACAAGTGCTTAAAAAGCTTCAAAAATGCCTTCTCTCTTCCAATGTAGGAACAACCCACTTCCCAACTTGTGAATAACAAACTATCTTACACCCCATTATATTAGCCACAAAACATCAGTCAGCTAATGACATGGCAGGTGGAAGAAAGACATGAGCAGGTTAGAAAAATAGTCCTGAACATGGGCACTTGAGAAAAACACACTCATGGTGCTAATCAAGTTACAAGTTAGATACACTGTGATGTTTGGCTTAATGTATGCATATTTTGATGTATATTGCCTCACATTTTGCTCATGTCTCGTAGATTTGAGATGTTTAATATGATGATTTGTGCTAAATTGTGGTATTTCTATGAGTAGGAATCATTCGGATGCAATTTGGGACGCAATTACGCGAATTGGAGCGAAATTGGGAAGAAAAGGCAAAAAATAAAATTTGAGCAATTTACAAAATGTTGAAAAGTTGAGGGCCAGGGCCAGCACCCCACGCTGCCCTGGACGCCCAAAACGCAAACATGTCTTAATTTGACTAGGACTGGGTTATTTCGACCCTAAGAAGCCCCCAACTAAAGGAAAAATGCATAAGTACCCCCCTGACCTATACCCGGATTCCCAACTACACACTTTTTCTTTGCGGGAATTCTATTACCCCCCTAAACTTATTTTAAATGGAATTATTTGTACCCTTAACGCTGACGTGGCAGAGTGTGTGTGTTTCACTCTCCCAAAGGAGAGTGAAAAGCAAGAAAAAATGATTTTCAGATTATTTTTCATTCTTTTTTTACCATTTTTTCTTACTTTTTCCTTTTCCTTTTCCTTTTCCTTTTTCTTTGTCTTTTTTCTTTTACTTTTTTTTTCGTTTCTTCTCTAATTTCGGCGGATATTCATTCACCGACGACTTTGTCTAACCGTTTTTCTTCTATTTTTTTTTTCACACACAAATTAAACTCTCAAAAAGATCTATTCATAAGCAAAGCAAAATACACCCAGATTTGGGGGGGAAAATTGCATCATCGGAAAACCCTTTCCCACGCCAGAAAAAAATGATGTATTAAAATTTTAACTGGAAAAAGTTTTCTCAGCTTATATTCATTTTTATTTCTTTTGCTCTTCCTCCCACACATAAATTATACTTTCAAGAAAAATTTATATATATATATATATAAAACAAAACACACTTAGATCGGGACAAAAATCAATCGCCGGAAAAAAAAATTCACCGGAAAAAATGGTATTTGTGAAATTCCGACGACCACCATTTTATGCCGCCGGTGACCAAAACAAAAAAAGAGAGAGAATGAAATAACCAAAAAAAAATGAGATTAATAAGAAATAAGAAAAAAGGATAAGAAAAAGAAGAAAGAATAAAAAAAAGTACAAAAAATACATGTGGGGGCGCGTGTAGATCACCACTTGCCAAGAGTTTAGTTGTTAGCGTTAAGGGTGCAAATAATTACATTTAAAATAAGTTTAGGGGAGGTAATAGGATTCCCGCAAAGAAAAAGTGTATAGTTGGAAATCCGGGTATAGGTCGGGGGGGGTACTTATGCATTTTCCCTATAGCTAATTAATGCATATTCTCACATTAATTTTTGACTTAACTATGATAAATTATAATTATTTGGTGTAAATATCGAATGCGAGTATGATAGGGATACTACGACTAAGAGATCTCGAATTCAATTTTTATGTAAAATGAGTTCATGTCCGACAAGAAATGACATTTGATGGATTTTTTTAAAATCACTATTTATATTTTGATCCTATGAAGAAAAGTTTTGGAAAAATAGTTCGATGTCAGAATTTTGAAGACGCGAGACATAATTTTAAAGCACCAAGAATTTGACGATCACCAAAATTTCATCCACAATGGGAATTCTAATGATCAATTAGAAATTTGTAGCCAATTGTACAAAAATATGGCAACCGTCAAAATATTATATGGGTCATCATAACTTACAAAATTATGGCAACTATTAGAATTCAAGGGAAACTTACACAAATGTCCCATATAAATCTCAACTTACCAACCTCTAGCCATTAGTCATAGACTTACCAAAACTAGCCAACAAAAATTGAAAACCTAAATAATAGGGTTCTTTCTATCAAAGAATCACATGCAAAAATCACCTTCCATATTTTTAAGGGTGATTAGCAACATTAGATACAAGACGGAAAAGAAATTTCATGGACGGGGTGGCAAATAAGGTGATGAAATATAAAAATCTATACAATATTTCAAAAATCTAAACAAAACAGGAACTTTTTCAATGGGTATAGTTGAAATTCATTGAAAATATATAGATAAGTCAATATACAAAATTTGAGGAAGATTGGAGGTGATTTGGACTAGTTTTGTATCAAAATTCTTAATTAAATCGAGTTCAAAAAAGTCTTCTGCGACACATGTATTAAACATGTATCACGCATGTATCTCACACACATGTTTACATGGATATACACGTGATACACAATTGATACAAATATGATACATATGTGATACACAAATGATACACAAATCATTTTTTTCATGTTCAGCTTTTATTTCGAATTTTCAATTCAAACGACTTCAAAACTTCACCAAATCATCCCAAAAATGAGATTCAAGCTCCTTAAGTTGTGCCCAATCTATCCTAATAACACCCACTCAAAACAAAGCAAAAATTTGATATTTTTTTTGCTACAAATAGCTAATTGGCTAATTTGGCTAATATTAGTAATATTTTATCAATTGGCCAATTTTTATAATGAGCTACTTATAAATGGACATAGCTGGTAATTTCCCTTAGAATTCTCCCAAATCACCATAAGACATGCCCAAAAATTTCAAACCAACATACATCAAAATTCTGACCAAAAACTATTTTTATAAAACTTTTTTTTACCGGGGATAAAATTTAAGTGGTGGCACTAAATGATTCATATTATCATTCTTCTGGGGAAGGCCATTCTTAGGGATAATATTTAGATATTAATCGGTACTTAATATGAACTAAAATTTCAATTTCAAGATAATTCAATATATTTTTATTTCGAAAAATTAAAATTCAAAATATATTGGCTAATTGCTAAATAGTAACCCCTTAGATTAGAATGAGTACATGGTGTTATGATGGGCTTAGTGAATGAGTTTGGCCCAGTTGGCAGCCTCTGTAAAATAACTAAAACGGCGAAGTCGAAACTGTCCTAAAGCTGCAAAAATGGCTGCTTCTTCTTCTTCCAAAAAGCTGCTTCTACTTCGAAAACCGCTTTGCAGAGCTCTCAAACCTAATTTCTCCCCATCTCCCTCTTCTTCAATAATACGAAGATCATTTCTTTCTTATTCTTCTTCTTCTACTCATAGTAAATATCTTCTAGAACCTTCGGTTACTATTTCCAAATCGTTTCTCTCAGAACTTTCTAGAAGCTATTGCTCGCACTCGTCTCCTCTCCCAGATGCTTCTCAAGGTCCTGCCGCTATCGATTACCGGTATGTTTGCTTTATGTGTAACAATTTTAGTTCCAGTCACTTGCTTCCAACTTCCGTGTTTGGTATTTTTTGTTCATGTTGCTGGGTGATTATGGAATTTGCTTGAATAAATGCAGAGCGTAGATTGAGTATTTATAAGTTGGATTTCTTAGTTTCCAATGTGTTTGAAACTAGTTTGATCGCCTTTTGTTGCAAAAATTGTGACTACCTTAGGATGTTACTCTCTCCATTTCATTGAACCTTTTCGGAATACGAGGGTCAAACTGTACTAATTATTTCGGTGTGAACTCGGATATTGAATTTTCAAAAATTTTGAAATAAAATTTACATTTTTAGAAACCACATAAATAGTACTACTATATAAGTCACACTAGTTAGCAATTCAATTTTTTGTTTTTGCAAAAAAACATGGTCCAAGAAAACCTTGTTTGACTCCTCAAATAGTAATAGGTTCACATAAAACCGGAGGGAGTACTATATTTGAAAATTTTGAAATAATCAATGTCCAAACATTGTTTGAAATAAGTGCTATTGAATAAAGTTTGGATTTTTGTAAACAAAATGACGTAATTGGCATTGGTTGCTTTAATCGCTTTTTTTCCATACTCGTTAAAACAACTTCATTGAGGAAAACATTTTCCGTCATACCAAACACACAAGGTCTTTTTGATTTCCTTCCCTCTGCTCCTTCGCCTAATTGCTAATCATCACTATAATGGGTGCAAGAGCATAGTTGTTCAAAGATGGAATTTTTTCTTATTTGATTAAGCAGCTTAGTGTCCTCATTTTATACCTCATCTCAGAGAATCTTTGACTATAGGGAAAATGTGATTGACTGTCTATGTAATTGAGGAGAGAATGCATCTGCAGGTTAATTTATTGATTTGTGGAAGCTGTGGTCCAGTGCTAGAAGTGTCTGTGGTAATAGATGAATCTTAATGTTGATTTACACTTGTGTCTGATAACGGAATAGCTATTTTGGGTTTGTTTCTGCTGATGCGTTGCATGGTTGATGTTCAATTGTTGATGTGAGGTACAGTTAAGGTGGATGCAAAATCAAAAGTCTTATACATAACGTAGAAGAAAGAAGTCAGGAGAAGCTTCTAATAACTGCACATAAGTGACAGATGAAAAGTAAATTGGGAAAGACTGAAATTTGATGGTACACCTTTTTTCTAAGTGTTAGAGGGAAGAGTATCATCAAAACATTTGCACTATGGATTGTCGTCCAATGGATGCATAACTTATGGCTAATGCTCCCATCTTGCGCAATTAGTCCCACACAATCAGTGCTTGGCACTTAGATTTGTGTCTTATGTACAGTACAGTTGATCCCCCCCCCCCCTCCCCCCGGCGTGCCTCGGGTGTGTGCCTGTTTCTCCGTCTCTAATAGATCAACAGAGGAGGTTGTCTCCTCTATGTCATTCTTAGAATGTCCTTCCATAGTTGGAATTTTATTGATGTAAAGGAAAATGTGTTTGTATCTAACATCTAAATTTACAAATCTACAGTTCTCTGCTGCAGGAAGATGAGTATCACAGACTGGCTAATGCTACTATCCATGGCTTGCTGGATAAGTTGGAGGTACCCTGATGTATTTTGATATACTTAGTTCAAGTATTTACTTTATTTGTATTTATATTTTTGTTAGACTTCCCCGTATATGTACCTTTATCTTAATGGTTGCACTTTGAACTTCAATGGGATTACTGATGTTTATTTCTCAGTCTAATTGTTGAGTTTGTTTGTCATTATGGATGCTTAACTTATAGAACAAGATTGATATTTGTGGACTGTAGGCATTACATTTGAAAGCTTTAATCGGTGAATTAGGCCATCAGCTGGCTTTCTGAAACTTCCACGTGCAAATTATGTGTAAGAGGGTCTTAGGGAACATTTCTGATTTGGGGCCTGGGCCAGTATCTTAAACCTACATTTGTTTTTCCTGGTTATCTGTAGTTTTTGTCTCAAATTTGGTTTTAATACATTTTAGATCGTTATATCTGTAATGACATCATATCTTCTTTTTTTTTGTTTCTAAAAGTTTAGATAGTATCAGGAACTTCTCTTAAACCTAATGCATTTTAAGAACGGGCCTTCACAAAACTTAAAAGTATGATGAACTTTTAACTATCATGGGTGAGGCCAGAAGTTTCATCTTCAGGCGCTGCAAAAAAAAAAAGGTAACAATTTTTTTTTTGAGAATGGTAACAGTAAATATAAAAAGGTTACAATTGGTACTATAAACTAGCGCCAACTTCAAAAACAATATCAGTAATTTGTGCTGATATCAACCGGAAATTAAAAACTTTAGATTGGATTACTCTTTACTTCAGTATCAAAAAGATACCACAGAGAGCTTTTCTCTTGTGCATGGGCTATTTATCAATACCAATGCCTAAATTGACTTTGAGAGGCCTAAACAATAAAAGATGCGGTTAAACTTTGAAAGGTGTTTCTAACATTGAAATCCATCTTTGTTAAGTTGACGAAGGGAACTCAGCCTTCGAGTGTGAATCAGATTGGACTCCACTAATATCAGAACTCTCTATGTATGTCATTTGGATTGAATTTCCCAAGTGGCTGGTTGAAGATGCTTATTTTTTCTTTGGGGAGTTGAGGAGCACGTTACTCCAAACATGGGTTATGCATCCGTGGAGAGACTATGGCCCCATTCAGCCCCATTTCCTTCCTTCTCTTGTTAAAATTGTTCATCAATCTCCTAATGTCAAATTGAGTTGGGTTGTTTTGTACATAATATTAGCATTCTGCATTATTTGGTTGTTTGTTAACAGTTGTCTCTTGTTCTACTTGACAGGAATATGGAGACTCAGTTGATATTGATGGTTTCGATGTGGATTACGGGGTGAGAAGGATAAAATTCATTAAACTGTATTTCTTTCGAGTTCTTGTTTGTCTTGATGTTTTGATTTTGTTCTCAGAATGAGGTGTTAACGCTGAAGCTTGGGGACTTGGGAACTTATGTGATAAACAAACAAACGCCCAATAGGCAGATTTGGATGTCTTCGCCAGTGAGGTAGCAATCTCTCTCTCTCTCTCTCTCTCTCTCTCTCTCTCTCTCTCTCTCTCTCTCTCTCTCTCTCTCTCTCTCTCTCTCTCTCTCTCTCTCTCTCTCGTGTGTCCTGGTTTGTCTTTTTATTTCCATATATTCTTGGTGGACCATACCAAAAATCAACCTGCCCCACAATGTAGTCCACAAACATCCATCACCTGTGCCACCTCAATTATTTCTTTGTGCTCTCTTTTTGTCAATTTGGAAACACATCTTGTACTTACTTCCTGTACAGTTTTATATAACACTTCAGCATGCTCAGGAAAAAGAATTTGTGATGCAAAGTCAACATTAAAGAAACAACCATGAGGAGTAATATTTACACACAGATTATTTTGGAGCAGCAAGCGATTGTTAATAACCAGTGTATGTGTATTAGCAGTATGAATAGGCCCATGTCGAAAGAGTGTGTGGATCGTGGAGGGGCTTTCCCTTTACTCTCCCTGGACATGGTCGAAGTGAAATCGGATTCCCAGTGTTCCACATTCTTCATTAAAGAATGCATATGACCGTAGGATGTTGCGTGGGAAGAACGTTAGAATTACCTAAACATGATTTCTTGCCAAAACTTGAAGATTGCTAACTTTTGAAAATTACCACTTAGGTTGTGATGCTCAAACAGCATGTTGATTGCATCTAAATATCTCTTAGAAAACCGTTCTAGATCTGGATTCTTGAGGAGAAATTCAAAACGTTTTATTTTGTTTTAGACACTGCACTAACATCTTGACTGGATTTGCTGGTTTAACCAATGCGGCAGGTTGTCCATTGTGAGTTCCTCCACTGGTACTTTAAACTTGTGATATCTAACTAAACTCAGTATGCTCATTTCAATCCGATTTACCGATTTAGTTCCAACAACATCTAGGCTTCATAACATTACCTAGTTTATTGATCTTAGTATTATTCTTCATGTAATTTTCCAGATAAGCGTCAACTGATTACTAGCAGTTGTCTCTTTCATGTAGAGCTTGACCTCTTCCACATTTTTTAACTGATTGATATTTGAAGTAAGATCGAAGTGCTTTTCTTTTGATGAAGCGTTTGCGCATAGATGTTACCCTAGTTTATTAACCAAAAATAGTACGGGTCTACCTGGCAGTGGGTTCTAGCAGATGGAAGAAAAGTAAAGAAACTGGTTGATACTTGGTATCGTACAGGGTTGACTGGATAAGTATATGCTATTTCTATATTTTTCATTTTCTTTTTATCATTGTGATTCAGGTGTAGAAAGTTAAGCTAATAGTACTCATTAAAAGTTTTAACATACTGTCAAAATTTCCCAAAAATAGTACGAATCTACCTGGAAGTGGGTTCTGCATATTGGTAGCAGTATCACTTCAATGCATTGTGATCTTTTAATTGTCTTTGAGCTTTTACTGAAGTTGGCATATAATACTATAACCATTTGCTCGTTCTGGTTTGTGTTGAGTTTGGGTGTTCACATATGCACCCATCTGTTCTCCATTGTGTTCTTCACGAAACATTTTTCTTGCAGTGGCCCATCAAGGTTTGACTGGGATCAGAACTCTCAAGGTTGGATCTATAGGCGAACCAAGGCTAACCTGCGAACTGTTTTGGAAGACGAATTAGAAAAACTATGCGGAAGTGCCATTAATCTTTCTTGAATCACTGCAGATTTTTTTATGTTTAATGTTGCTACTTCTAGTAGCATTTACGTGTTTGGAATAATTACCTATAGCTCCTATTATCTTTCTCTTGTAAGTTGTAAATCTTTGCTTTTTAACTATTATATGGTGTGATTTTTGGAGAATGGAAAAAGTGATTTTATGGTTGTTTGGGACATTATGGAGCTAGATTGTAAAATAGGTACACTGTCCATCTTATAAAATGAGCTCGCAAAATGATATTGGTATCCAATAATTGGATCAATTCACCTATTGCCTTAATATTTTGGGTTAGATACTCAGATTCTTTTATACTTTATGATTTTAGAGTCATAACTTTTGGGAGCCTACTTTCTCAATTCAGTCCATGAAGCTATTTTGGGCTTTCTTTGCTTATTGAGCTTAATTTGTCTCTCCACTCGATGCCCAATTTTGTTGAGCCTCATCTTTCTCTACTTTAGAAAAACAAATAAAGGCAAAAAATAAATTCTACTTGTAAAGAAGTTTGAAATGTTCTGAATCACTATTATTCATTGTCTTAAGGTATTCAATGATATTTCACAGAAAATTGCATCTTTAAAAAATAATGAGTTCTTATTTGGCATAACATGTGCCAACTTTATTGTAGTATTTGTAGTAGAGATAAAATATATTGGAATTTTTATATTCCTATACACTATAAAACTATATTACCTTCCCTACTCAAGTTTTACTATAATTACATTTTATATACCCAATTACCATTTATGTACATTTTAAGAGAATTACTGGTAATAATTAGTATCCTAAAATTACTCTAACATATCTTCCACTCCCCCACGTTTCTCTCTCCACATCCCACCCCCCATCCTCACGTATCTTGCACAAGAGAGCAGCAATTCTACCATTGACAACCATTAAAAACTTTGAAGCTTTGAATTCGAATTTGGGTTTTCAAAAAACATTGTTTGTTTGGATTGGATGTTGCAAAGAATTGAGAATTCTCTCTACGTCTCTCTCTATCTCTCAATCCCAAATTTCAGTAATGTAAAGCAAAGGAAAAGAGAGCAGCAATTCCACCATTGACAGCCATTAAAAAGTTTTGACAGCTTTGAATTCGAATTTGGATTTTCAAAAATCATTATTTGTTTGGATTGGGCGTTGTTGCAGATAATTGAGAATATGGTTTGGAGTTTATATCTCAATTTTGAGGGGTTTTGGTGAAGATTAGACTTGGTTTTGGCTGAATTTCAGATTAAAACTCGAAGAAGAAGAAGAAGAAGAAGAAGAAGAAGAAGAAGAAGAAGAAGAAGAAGAAGAAGAAGTAGACATGACATACGTTATACTGCAGAAATTGTAGTAAAATTGTATTCTGTTGTTTATATATTTTTCTTTTATTTATTTAACTATTGTACGAAAGTTGAACAACATTGTATAAAAATTATATTTAAGTTGTATGATATTGTAGTTGTATATAACCGAGTAGAAATAATGTATGAAAATTGTGGATAAGTTGTATAATATATAATTAGTTGTATGAAATTTCTTTTTCTATGTATAAATCAGATACAAAATATACAAAAGACATATTGTACAAATTTTGTATAAAATTTGTATTTAAGTTGTATGTTATTGTTGTTGTATTTAACTGGGTAGAAATAATGGTAAAAATTGCACGGGGCGCCCCTTTTTAACCTGTAGCCGCTTTGTCTTTCTGTTTGCACCCGTACCCGTTTTTTTTCGTTAAAAGCCTTTTAAAAAGACTATTTTGCCCTTCTTTATTAAAAGACTAATTTCTCTCCAAGTATACGCTAGTCCTCTACTGTCTCTGTCTCTCTCTCCCGTTATTGGCGTTTTTTGATTTGTTCTTCTCTGAAATCAAACGGTTTTCGTCGTTGTTTTGATTTTTCAACTGCTAGTCGTCGCTGTTCCCACATTACGATTTAATCACAGGTACACTGTATTAACTTTCTGGGTTTTATTTTACGATTTAATTTCTGGTTTTGGTTTTGATAGTCATGTATTTATGATAAAATAGTTTCTTAGGGTTTAGTTTGATAAGTGCATTAGTTTTACTTTTATGATTGTGTTTTTAGGTTTTTTGAACGAGTGTTTATGTTGTTGATGAAAATTCTATAAATTCTTCAGTGATTAGACGTCCAAGTTTTTAAAAATTTTGAGAGTTAAATAGATGACACTATTAAAGTGTGAAGTTTATAATAGTTCAATGATACCTTAGATAGGAGCTGGAATTTTTTTTCATGTTTTGGCATTATTTTTGGATTTGAATTTGTGTTTTGTTTTTTGCTGAATGTTTTGTGTTTGTAACTGGTGAAGTTCAGCTTTAGGAGCTGAAGTTTTTGTGTTTGTAACTGGTGAAGTTCAGCTTTAGGAGCTGAAGTTTTTGTGTTTATAACTGGTGAAGTCCTGATTTAGGAGTTGAAGTTTTTGTTTTTGTTACTGGTGAACTAGGAGCTGAAGTTTTTGTGTTTGTAACTGGTGAAGTCTTGCTTTAGGAGCTGAAGTTTTTGTGTTTGTAACTGGTGAAGTCCTACTTTAGGAGCTGGAGTTTTTGTATTTGTAACTGGTGAAGTCCTGCTTTAGGAGCTGAAGTTTTGTTTTGTTACTGGTGAACTTCAGCTTTAGGAGCTGAACTTTTTGTGTTTGTAACTAGTGAAGTTCAGCTTTAGGAGCTGAAGTTTTTGTGTTTGTAACTGGTGAAGTCCTGCTTTAGGAGCTGAAGTTTTTGTGTTTGTAACTGGTGAAGTTCAGCTTTAGTAGCTGAAGTTTTTGTGTTTGTAACTGGTGAAGTCCTGCTTTATGAGCTGAAGTTTTTGTTTTTGTTACTGTCGAAATTCAGCTCTAGAGTTGAACTTTTTGTCTTTGTAACTGTGGAACTTCAGGTTTCTTAGGTATTGAAGTTTTAACTGATCTTTTTGATAATGTCCTGATGTTATTTTTTGTATCTTTTACTTTTTTTTGAACAGATGGCTCCTAAAGCACCTAAAGATCCTAATGCAGCTAAAGTACGCAAAGCAACTAATGCACCTAAAGCACCTAGACAACCTATAATACCCCCAGGTCCTTATGTCCCTGCTCCTCCACCTACAAAACCAGGGTTTGAGTTTCGAGATTGGTTTAACTGTAAGGGTTACTGGAAGGGGAACCATGATTTGAAGAAATTAATTGCAACTTTCTTGACTCCTACACAACGGGGTAAGCTTAATTATGGTACATTTCGATACATTATGGCTATGCAGAATTTCCAATGCAGCATGAAGTTGGTTCATTGTCTGTGTCTTTCTCGAATATTCACCAATGATCGAGACTCCATTAGTTTCAAGATTTTTGGCCATGATGTTTCCTTCACCCTTGAAGACTTTCACATTATGTGTGGTTTGCGGATCACAGCACATAATGTTGAAAAACCAATTAATCGAAAGAGCAATATTCTGAAGCGCTATTTTGGTAAGTCCAAGGGTGTGACTTTGAAGGATATTCGAAATTTTATGACTCGGAATGAAATTCCAAAGAATGTTGTGAATCACATACACGTATGTGAGAGTGATGATGATGTTGTTAAGCTTATGGAAATTCTTGTTGTAGAGTCTATTTTGTTTGGGAAAAAGACCGAGTCATTTGTGATGGAGGAGTATGCATCTATTGTTGAAGATGATAAGGTTTGTGCTGAATATCCTTGGGGTAATGTGGCTTATGAGAAGCTCATTTACTCACTGAAACATGCATTGGACAAGTAGAACAAATTACATTCAACTGAGTATAAACTTGGTGGATTTTCATATCCATTATGTGCTTGGTTCTATGAGCGCTTCCCAGATGTTCGGGAGAAGTATATAAGAGAGGATGAGTACCTTGATACCCCTCAGGTTCCCAGGATGTTACGATATGTATGTGTGGGAGAGCCTAAATTTCCCGAACTTTTTGATATGTTCAGTACTCATAAAGTAAGTTACTTTTTTTTTTTGTCTTTCTGTTAATATGTTGATGTATTAGTTTTTTTCTCCTCATAATATACTTTTTTGTATTAAAAAGATATATCGCAACTTTATGGTATTGGATATAATTCCTACAGAAAAGAAATTGAATTCAATGCCTTTAGTTGGACAATTACCATGCAGCCGGATTCGTTCAGCGGTTCCTTCAACTGGTGAATCACCACGTACTCTGAGTCGATCAAAAGAAGCGAATCGAGGTCCTGTTATTGGAGAATCACCACGTAGTCGGAGTCGTTCAAAAGAAGCGAATCGAAGTCCTTTTACTGGCGAATCATCTCGTACCCAGAGTCGTTCTAACCGTTCTACATCTGACTTTGATGACAATGAATTACTTGACACAATATGTTCTGTAAGTTTTGATCTGAAGTTTTTTGGTTTTGTTTTTGTAAAAGTAGAACATGTTTTTGAGCTGAAGTTTTCTTCTATATCTGAATTTTTGTTGTGTGTCTATTCTAGAGGTTAACGACGGAGGTTCAAAGGCATGCAGAAAAAGAAAGAAGCACGATTATGAATGAAGTTTTCGATAAGTTTAAAAGGATGAGCGATCTGCTATTGTTGATGCGGTTTTTGTAAAAGTGAAGGTAAGCTAATTTATAGAGAACTCTTTTTATTTCTGCTGATGTTATTCAGATTAATCATTGTTAGTAATTTTTTTTCTAGGAATATTTCGATGAGAAGTTTGAACAGTTGTTTAAGATTGTCAACAAATCAAATGAAATGGACGATGGCAATTTTGATTTGAGTAACCATCGAGAATATCATAAGGTGAACGACTCATACGAACATCCATCGGATATTAATGCTGTTGATGATGCATCAGATAAAGTCACAAATGTAAATGCTACATGTGAGGAAGCGGATTTTGAAGGCGATCAACATGTTGACGAACAAGTTGAAGAGGAACGTTCCAGTGCTGATAGATTGAGCAGAGATGGAAATGTTGAAGAACAGTTAGCAACTGAGAATGTTGGAAGCAAGCAATGTGCAGATAATCAAGTTGAAGAACATGTTGCTCATAATGCATCGCATAAAGTCGCAGATGATAATGCTACACGTAAGGAAGCGGCTGGTGAATGCGATGAACATGTTCAACATCAAGGTGCAGATGATAAAGTTTTTGGTACTGAAAAGCATGCACCGAGTTGTGTTTTGGAAAGCGATATTGGAAAGGGCAATTTGTATGATGGAGCACTAGCTATTTGCAAGGAAAGTTTAGGTGGTGATACGCAGAAAATTGTTACTACAGGTATAAAGTGTG